TTTATTCGAATTTTTTTTTCTCTTTCGCTCGATCCTTGAAATCTCGCCGTGGAAACGTGAAAAACGCTCACGGACGCCCACGGTTCGTACTCTGCGCACACACGAACCGGACGGCACGCGAAAAGTCTCTCCCCTCGTGCCACCGCGCGAGTTATTGAACCTCGGCAATATAATATTTACGACGACCGTCCCGCGCTTTGGACGTGAGCGGTTTTACAACCGGACGGTATAAAGCGCAGTATAATCATAATTATAACATTCCTGCGTTGCATTCGTGTACCCGCCGCGCTCTGTATGCGCCGTTCGCGCCGTGTAATTAAAAACCGGTAAAGGTTTCAAATTGATTTTCACCCGCGCGCGTTTTTATTGCGACGCGATATAAACGCACACACGCGTACATCGAACACCGTATTATCGCGATACGGCACGTCGACGACGCGCGTACCTTGTACCGCGAGTAGGATATCGTTATTATAGTATTTATGTACGCGTACAATTATGGTACAAATATTTATATATTATCTCCGTTCATACATTACGGGTTCATATTATTACAATACATGCGCTGTGCACAGTGTGTACATTTGGTGTGCGGGGGGAGGGAAGTAATAAACATCCAACATAATCTTACAAAACGAAAAGGTGTGGGTGGGGGAGGGAGAAAAAAAAATTACAATCGTAATTTACAAACCGTGTGCGCGGGGCGGTGAGTTTTAACGAACAAACGCCGCAGACCGTTGCGCCGGCGGTTAATTGTCGTCGGAATCGTATTCGGGTCCTCCGTCGTCCGTGTCGAAGAACGAAGACGTTTGCGGGCTGGACTCGTGCTTCATGGACCGCGCGGCCGCCGCGGTGGACGAACAGCTCGCGGCCGCCGTTTGATGGACGCCGTGCTGCTGCTGCGTGGACGACACGGCCGCCTGGTGGTGGTTGATGAACGGGAACGGTATGCTCGGCTGGTACGGCACCGGGAAACACCTGAGGTCGGGCGCGACGAACGGCTGGTACACGGCTGCTGCGGCCGCGGCCGCGGCAGCGGCGGCGTCCGATGCGGGGTACTGCTGCTGCTGCTGCTGCATCACCACCTCGTTGAACTTGATACGGGCCAACAGTTGCAGCACGCCGATTTTGAAGTTGATCTTTTGCTTCTCGTTCAGCGACTTGACCGTGGGCAGCAGCGACACCATGAACGACAGGTCGCCGTCCAGCTGGCACATCGCGTCCGCCGCCGACTTGCCCGCCACGCCGTTCAACGCGTCCACGTGCTGCTGCACGTCCGCCGGCATCTCCGGTTTTACCGCGATCTGTTCCGGCGCGCCGACGGTCGTCCCGCCGTGCGTCCGCGACGAGCCGGTCGTCTTTCGCGTCTTCTTCTTCTTCGGCTCCTCGGTCCCGTCCGCGGCCGTCCGCCCGCTGCCGGCCGCCGTCCCTTTGGTGTCCTGGATGAACGGTATCAAGAACTGCAGGTGATCGAACAGATAGTATTTCTTCCTGTGCTCCGGCGGACCCCGGGACTTTCTCGGTTTGTTGCCCTTGACGTCCTTGACGAACGAGTCCTTGATGTTGGTCCATTTCTTTTTGACGTCGGCCACTGCGCGCGGTGATGACAATTAAACAACGTGTTAGGAACGTAGAGCCAACGGTTAACACGTCCAATAACAATACGTACCTCTGTCGCGTTGGTCGAAAGCGCTCAGATCGTGCCAGTCGGAATAAAGGTTCTCCGCGATCTCCGTCCACATGTTGGCCAACACTTCCTTGTTGAGGTGGTTCATGTCGGCCGTGTCCCATATGCACGACCGGTCGCGTATCTCGTGTATGAGTTTCTCCGTGAAATAGACCATCGTCGACGTTTTCAACGTTTTCCTGTTGCCTAACCGGGCAGGGACGAGCGCACCGGACGGGCCGCGGGTGTTGACGTGCGCGCGTACGAGCGTCGACTGCGGTGACAGCCGGCGCGGCATGGGCCCAGTGAGAACGGCAACGGCGGACCGCCGGTGTCCGCCGGACGGGCGCTCGGTCGTTCGATACAACAATAACCCCCGGCCACCGCGCACGACCGTCGGAGGGTGCGTGGCGGGCGCGCGCGGTCGGTACGGCTACGGATGGCGGGCGGTCGGCCGGCCCGGTGCGACGGTGGCGAAGCGGCGGCTGACGGTCGTCCGGGTCTCGC